CAACCCACTTCATATAGTCTTTTTTTCCCAAAATGTGTTCTTATCCAAGGTGGACTGCGGTCTTATCAACACCCTCGGAGACAGTCAAACCATGACAGTACCGCGTATAATCTCGGCACGTTAGCCACCAAGCCACGTTGCCACGAGTGAATTTCAAGAAAGGTCACACATTCTGTGTTTAGACAGTCGGTGAATCCAACTTGTATTTGCTATAGCCATCGACGACATTACTTTTTTTGTTAGTGAGTAGGCCTTCGAGACCATCTGCAAATCATATATATGAGTTGAACTACCAGCCCTTCATCACCTTTAATGAAATAGGATAGACAGACATCACATATCTGATTTACTGATAGTCTCGAAAATCTACTCACTGACGAAAAAAGTAATGTCCTCTATTGCCACAGGAAATGCAAGTTTGCCTCATCGACTATCCAAACAGAGAATGTGATATGAAAAATGCCTGACCTTTCTTGAAATTCACTCGTGGCAACGTGATTTGGTCGTTAACGTGTCGAGAATACACGCTGCACTGTCATGATGTGTTGATAGGACCTAGGCGAAGTGAAAACTGCAGTCCACCTTAAATGAGAGCTCATTTTGGGATAGCAAAGCTTTGTGAAATGCAATGGAAACGTCAGCTCAACTCATATCATTGTGGGAAAATTCAACTACCAATCTTCATACCCTTAAACGAAATATGGCGAACACAATTCATTTATCTTCATTTGAGGTGCTTACTTGAATAGTTGCTGACGTCCTCTGCCTCCTTGGTTTTCCGGTTCTGTATCACTTTCAAGATGGCCGAGTGCTGTTGGCTCCGCTTCTCCTCCCTGCTCGCTCGGTCCGACACCAACACCGAATTGTTCTTCTGTCGGTCCAGTCTGCCGGAATTCACCTTATCTCTGTCCAGGCCGTCCAAAGAGGACGCCTGCTCTGCGGTGACTAACATGTGTGAAGGACGCTGGGTTGAGGCGCCTATTTGACTTTCGACAGATCAGCACACCCTCACACACACATACACACACACACAAAGGTAGACACAGACAAGCACACGCACACTTTGCACCAGATACAGAAGCACTTTTGTTTAGGCTTTTAGGCAAACGCGGAGAAGGGGAAGGACAAATGCGACCGGGTTTGCGGACTCAGCTTCTTGAGGTTGTGCACTTTTGGCACAAATCGGAGACCTACCGGCCTTTGCACAATTCTGGAATGCCACTTGCAGACAACGAACGTCCGGCAAATGGCTTTCGCCGGCTCGACCGCCCCAGAATAGACCTTCTGAGACCGCCTGTCTGTTCGATCCGATGGACTCCGGTTGGTACAGCTCGACACCTCCACTCCTCCTTATGTTGTCTGTAGCTCGTCTGAAAAGACGAACAGATTGTCGACTCAGCGACTGACGACGTCTGCGCTACAGCAGGCTTAAACCGGATCAAGATGGGGCACTTCTATAAATAAGGCCAAGATCCTGACAGCCAATGTGACCAGGAGCACGAGTCAAAAAGGCCCTTTCTCCACAGCATACCAATGGTCTAGACCGGCACACATCCTACTCACTTGTGTGTTTGTGTATGTGTGTATGCTTATGTGCGACTGGTTGTCCAGTGACTTGAAACGAAAAATAGGCCAAAATGCGAGGGAAAATGCGCCGGGTGAAAGTAGACTCTGAGAGTGAGCAGTTATGGCACGAAGAGACTTAATCTCGAGAGCTGTCACGTGATGCCTATTTAGGGTTGTATCCGAAGGTGAGGCCAGACGACCGGACCTCCATTGCCTCCAGCCCAGTGAACACATGCGATAGCCATGAGCACACCTCAAATTGATCCTAGTTACCGCCTTTGTCGCTCCCTCTCGCCTGGGCTCGGGTAGCAAGAGGATAAACCCACTTATCCGGTCGGTATTAGACTGGCAAGAGGCCTGGCAACAGCTTCTGTGAATATGCAGTTGCCAGGCTGGAGGAATAGTCTCGTCACCAGCCTCACTGAGAGGCCGATCTCTCACCGGATTTGCGTTGTTATGCCGAAACTCTCTCCAACCGCTATCTCGTCTCTGCTCATCTGCCCTGGCAACATAGTTCAGTCGCTTACGGCTAGTGGCCAAGATACCATCGATGGGCTGAACAAAAGTTGGCTCATGGTAGAGACCAACAAAAAGAGGCCAACTGATTGAGAACGGTCAAGCAAGTGTCCTCTACGATTTAGGCTGTTTAATCAGAGAGGACAACTAAGTCCTACCAATCCTTTCAACCCGTTTAACTTGAAACTTTTTCCCTTTAGTTCACTGGCGCATGGCCCAATATAACTTTGATATCTGACAGTAAAAGACCTTAAATATGAATATGAACAAAGTCTCTAAATGTCTCTTAGTACTCAATATTCGTATGCAAAAAAGTATCTGTGAATTTTGAGTACAAAATTAACTGTGAAGACTTTCTTTTTGTATCAAGGTACCTGATGAAACGATTAAAAGATCGATCTCACCGAAAGATTTCAGGTGATTTTGCGGTGTTTGGCGACCGTTTGGTTTTGATATTAGGTTAACATGCCACATGAGGCATCCTCTCTGATTTCGAGGAAAAAACTGGTTTATTGCTTTTTCGTCATATGACGAATATTATCAGGTGGTTTCGTAACCTGATGTAAACACGTACACACTTAAATTTCGCCATTTTAACCAGGGTTACCTTCAGATTTATCAATCTTCGTCGTGCTTTACCTCGGGTCACTAAACCTTGACGAACCGGGCCCAAAATTAGCATCTTTTGCGATTATTCTGAGTTTTGGCCGGTATTGTATCATCTGATTTGTAAGCTTAAGGGGCACCAACACACACACAGATACACATAATCAAATATAAGTACCCAGATTATCATGGAATAGAACTAACCGAAGCATCCTATATACATCAAAATCCACATATTTTCGCTTTTAGTTATTAGTATATGCAGCATGTCTGATAGAGTAGATTAATATTCTTTACTTAGTATTAAATTGGGAAATAGCTCTGATGGGGTCTATCAGATGAACCACGAAAGCCTAACCATCTTTAACCCGAAAAGAAGGAAGATTTCTTGTATGAGTCAACCTGAAGGGGGTATTAAAGCCAAACGCCTGAAGAACAACTGGATTCAGCTATCGTCTTCTAGTGAGATCGACTTACAAGGCTCTTCACCATGCTCCTTCATATGAAAGAAAAGTATCCATGGCAAAGTTTTCTTAAGGGATTCATCAAACCACAGATACTTTTCATATCATAAATTGGCTATTATATTTTGTTTAATATATTTACCAATTAATAAGGGAATTTTTCTCACAATAAAGTGATATTCCATTGTAAGTTCGGGTGCTTGGGCAGCACAACCAGTAGCAGAAGTATAAAGGGTCGAAGGCATAAAATGGATATACACTACTCGTCAGTCATTTGGATTATAAGAGATCTCACTAGAACTCGAAGCAATTGCCTCTCGAGTTTTGGTACGACCAACATATTATTTATTTTTCGTATTTTAAGTGGAGTTTTGAGACTACCAGTAAATCAGTAATATGAGATGTATTCACCCAATTTCGTTTAAGATGATGAAGGATTGGTAGAAGAATTTCCCCACAATGATATGAGTAAAGCTGACGCTTCCATTGAATTTCACAGAGCCTTGCTTTCGCAAAAGTGGTTCTCATCCACAATGGACTGCAGTTTCGACCTAACATCAACACCTTCAGAGGGATTCGAACCGTGACAGTGCAGCATGTGAATTTGACATGTTAACCACTCGGCCACATTGCCATGAGTGCCTTTGGTCCAAACATTTTTATGCTATGAAGGCTTCATTATCACTAACCTTGTAGGCGAGTTAGAAAACAGTCGGCCTAGGTCAGTTAAACAGAGTTAAAGAGAAATATAGTTATGGATATTACCCAAGAGGCCCTTTGTGTTTTGTATACTGCTATTTTAAATTAACAGTACTTTCTTAATAAGCGATTAGTCAACCTAGCTCTCTTAATACGATCTTGTGACTAATAGTGTAGTTTTTTTCCACTATGATATAAGCAGGCCTTAAGATTCCATTTAAATTCATCACATGTTTCTAATCAGACACGCATACACCGTTGCCAGTGCGTCAGAAAGAAGACACCTCTTTAAGGCAAGCCATGCCTCCCACAAAGCATAATTATATTGGGATTGCAGGTATGAAGACCAAGATGGTGTGGCCTTTTGTGTGGTCGCAGTCTCCTTTCGTTGTATAGAGG